TAATTATTTCAAAATAAGTTAAAAGAAGTCACTGAAAAATGGATTATTGGGAAAGAAGAATGAAAGCAGACTAGTTAGGAGGCTGCAGTTTCCAATGAGAGATGAGGATTTCTTGGACTTGGGTAGTAATAGCAGATGCGAAGAGAAGCAGATGGATTTGAGATTTTTTTAGAGATGGAGCTGGTGGTATTGGGTTGGTGTGCAGGAAAGGGGGTCTAGATACAAGCTTGGGAGGGTTAACATTGGAAGAGAAATAGGTTGAGAGGAGGAAACAAGTTTTTTTATGTTGGGCTTGTTAGATTAGGTAAACTCTCAAAGGCTGAGGTTGGAATTGAATGTAGGAGCCAGGCAGCATATAGAGTATAATTACAGCTGTGGGATTAGGTGAAGTCACTCAGGGCAGAATAGTGGAGAGAGTGAAGAGAAGAGGGCTGGGGATAGAGAAGTGGGGGGAGACTTCCCTGTCTAGAGGTGTGTCAGAGGAAGAGCCAGTAGAGGAGATCTAAAAGCAGTGTTGATAGGAAGAAAATCAGGAAAGTATGGAGTCATTGAAGCTCAAAGAAGAAAGTGTCTGTAGAAAGAGGAAGCTATCTGATTTGGATAGTGCTGAGATATTGAGTATGATGAGGAAAAAAGGGACCACAGGAGGTTTTGGGAAGACCTTAGGGCATAGAAGGCAAACTAGTAGTTTGAAGAATTCAGTATTTTGTGAGGAAATGGAGAGAGCAAATACATCTCATTCAAGGAGTAGCAGAGAATTGGGGTGGTAGCTAGTGGGAGCGCCTAGATCATATTTGTGTGCCAGTGGGTATGATCCAGTTGACAGGGAGAGAGATGGTGAATCAGAGAAAGATTAATTGATGGAGCAAATATTATACATTGAGAATTCAGGAAGGGCTGGGGTCAAGTATAGAAGTGGAGGGATTGTTCTTTGAGTCTCAACATACCAGCCAAAGAGAGCCTTTTAAAGGCAAGTCAGAGCACATCACTCTTCTGCTCAAAAAGTTCCCATTTCACTTAGTGTAAAAGCAGAAGTCCTTTCAGTGGCTTACAAGGCTCCAAATAACCACGTTCTTTTCNTCCCAAGCCAGTCTTAACCAACGCGCCACTCAGCCGGCCCTAGACTAAGTTTTTAAATACTTGGTTAGACATAACAGGAATGATAATAGCCTAAGATGGAGTTAATATTACAATTAAAATATTTAATAGACCTGGGAATATAATCCTCAGTAGCCATTCTTAACTCTGGCTATGCATAATTGGTATCCCTTCCTAATTAAAAAAATGATGTCACAGATTAATCTCTGAGGCTATTGTACGATTCCCCCCGCCCCCACTCAATTCTTTATTGAAAAAGAAAACAGTGAAGATTCAGTTGTAGAGAACAGAATCTCCTCTAGATACCGTAAGCAGAGAGGGTTTATTTACCATATGGCACTAAATAGCTTGGAGAATTGTGGGTTGTATCAGTTTGGTCCAATCAGGAGATAGACACCACACAGTAATTTAATAGGGGAATATTTATATAAAGAATTATTGACTCTAACAGGGGATTGGAGCAATGAGGGATTTATCAGTAAGAAGTAAAGATAACTCTAAGGAATATAATATATGGATAGCTGATATAAAGAGCAGTTGCTACTTCTAGGGCTGAGATAGAGTGGATCCTCCTTCCCCATTGAGGTTTAGACCTTGTTGGAAAAGGACAAGGTCAAGGCAAGTAGCGGTGGCGGCACTAGTAGAATTTGCTGGATGTCCACCCCCTAGGATACCAGGGAAAGCTGTTTATGGGGAGATGTCTCACCAGAGCCACTTTGCTACCAAACTGCCTGGCCTCCTATTGGAGAAGCTGCTGGTGCTGCAGGAGCCTGTTGCTGGAGAAGCCGTCCTTGTGGCAGCCAAGTGAGCACACTGGAACCAGAAGCAAAATCCTTTTCCCTGCAATGTCTTTCCAGTGCCCTTTCGACAGAGCTCAATATCATGTCAGCTGGCAAAGAAATGGATATTTTAAATCCATTTTCACAGAATGTGCAAAAGGTGAATTTGGAGATGAGGGCCAGTAAATCAATGACTGGCACAGGTATGAAGTGGTTCACAGAATTGTTCGGAGATCTAAAGAAAGAGACTGTAGGTTGAGCATCAAGGAACAACTTCCAAAACCTCTGCACAGAGCTGAGAAACCAAGGGAGGTATTATTTCTCCTATGATTAAGGGGCCCCCTGTGTAATCACAAAGTTGCTCCTGGGTCTTCATTGCTAGAACCACACTGCTCTTTTAAAGTCAGGAAACTGTTGTGGTCAGGAGGCTATGGTGATCAGGAATCTCCTGTTATACTTACCAGCTATAGAACCACACTGGCCCAGGACCCGACCTGGTCTGCACCAGCCCTGCCTACGAGAGACTAGACTAGCCTTTCTCAATCTTCATACCCTAGAGGATCCATCAAATAATTTTTAGGTCTCAGGGAACAACTCCTTAAAAATGATAACATCTACAGCTGTGATATTAGTTTGAACAGAAAGTTTAGGTATAATAATTGTTTTTATCGCCGCCAATTCAATCCATCGGTGAAGGAGGGATCTTCTGTTCTAAATGGTATGAGATGGGTACTATCTGACACGGGTCAGATGAGCTTGACAGAATTTGCTAGTCATATATATACAACCTGGGAAAGGGACATACTGCATTCCACATGGGGGCTACACTTGGGAATAGAGTGAACCAGACACAGGGCCTATGGGAGGCAGGCTTTGTAGTAACAAAAGGACAAAGTGACCCCCCCCCCACCCCTTCACTATGGGAGGATGTGATTAGTTTGTTTTGAATAATTCTGAGAGCTGGAAGGGGACTGAAATTAGTTAGGTTTAGGATGAATGGAGTACAGTTGGTTTGGCTGAGGGTGGAACTAGCTGGAGTTATCTTTTGGTTGTTGAAATTAGGCATTCTTGTTATATTCTGGATATTAAACCCTTATCAGATATATGATTTACAAGTATTTTCCCTTATTTTGTAGATTGTCTTTTCACTTCTTGATAATGTTCTTTGATGCACAAAGTGTTAAATTTTGAAGTCTAATGTACCTTTTAAAAGGCTTTATACAATAAACTTATTTTTTAAAACTAAAAATAAAGAATGAAGTTTTTCTCTTTCATATGAAACTTATTTTTGCTTTCTTTTGATGAACTTGAAATAACCATTCACAGATTTCATTTTCAACTGACATGAGATGATTTCCTCCTTGCTCTTGATGCTTGTTAAACAACAAAAAAATTCCTTGCATAAAAAGTTGAAAACTTGCAGCCAGATGTTTATTACTTTCCTGTGATTTGTAGGACACTACTCTTTCATAGAAATCTAGAACTTTTTTAGGGACAGATCAGTAAATCTCGTCTTGTGTGTATAATCATACATAAAATTCTTCCTCCTCAAAGTCAAGTTCTCAGCCTGAGCAGAAGATTCAGAGAAAGTTGCTCATTCATTTTTGCATTTGTGTGAAAGAAGGGAAAATACTGTTTAATTTTGTTTTATAATTTTGTTCCTCTAGATTAGCAGAGATTTGTGGATATCCTTTTCAGCTCTTGAGCCCAAGCAACAATAGGAACATTTTATGATTTTCTTTTGTCACATGATTTTTCCCCCCAAGGATCTTGTCACTTGAAGTCAAAATATTTTCTTTTAAGGCCTTGCAGAGAGCTGTTCAGTTGTTTCATGTGACAACAAGTGTTTGCTAAGTTGGCTGGTTTTAGCAGCCATTCTTCATCCTCCTAGCACTTAGCAAAATCTGACCCACTGTGTGAAAATACTCCAGCTATTCACCTTTCAGCTCAGACACCTGTTGAGAACTCTATATCTGCTAAGTCACTAGATTTCTGCACATAGCAGGAGTTTTATGTACTCTCTGTGCAGGGTGTTTTGAATGAACGGGTTTTTGTTTAATCAAGTTCATCTTTTTTTTTTTTAAAGATTTTATTGGGGAATTGGGGGGAGGGGAACAGCATTGGGGAATTGGGGAAGGGGAATAAACAGGTAGACAAATTGCTGTTTTTTCTTCAGTCTAGTTGTGGAGGACGTTGCTTCACTGGCCCATGTTGGTATGATCATTGTGCTCTTCCCGGGTGAGGCAATTGGTCGTGGGTCATTGGTCGGCCACTCACAGTGGCTCCTGGCAGCTCACATAGCTCACGGCAGCCCACTGCAGCCCCGCTGCAGCCTACACCATCGCTGGCGACTCACAGCAGCCCAGCTCCAGGTGGAGCTGTTGTTCATCATCTTAGTTGTAGAGGGTGAGCGTCACTGGCCCTCATGTGGAATCCAAACTGCAGCCCTGCTGCGCAGAGCTTCGCTCCCAAGCGAGCTCTTAACCAGCTGAGCCACTCGGCTGGTCCCAAGTTGATTATTTTTATAGCTTCAAATAGAACTTATTTCATTTCATCTCCCAGAGGTTTTTTTTTTTTTTTTGAGATTTTATTGGGGAATTGGGGAGGGGAACAGTGTTGGGGAATTGGGGAAGGGGAACATTGTGTGTTTCCAGGACCCATCAGCTCCAGATCAAGTTGTTGTCCTTCAATCTTAGTTGTGGTGGGCGCAAGCTCAGCTCCAAGTTCAATCACAGCTTTCAATCTAGTTGCGGGGGTGGAAGGGTGGGAGTAGGGTTGGGGAGGATTGAGGGTGTAGTCCACCATCCCATGCTGGAGTCGAACCAGCAACCTTGTTGCACACTGAGCCATGTGGCTGCCCGTTTTTTGAATGAATGAATGAACAACTTTTTGTTTAATAAAGTTGATCATTTTTTATAGCTTCAAATAGAACTTTTTTCATTTCATCGCCCAGAGTGATTTTTTTTTTTTAAAGATTTTATTGGGGAATTGGGGAGGTTTCCAGTGTTATCTTGTGTTACCCATAATAAAACTTCAAGTTGTATAACTTTTATGACATCTAATATATAGAAAACAGAATTCTGTTTTTAATATTACTTTTTAAATTTTTTTTTTATTTTTTAGATTATCTGCAATGGTGAAATGAAGTAACTCAAGATGAGCAAATTAAAAGTGGTATCAGAGAAAAGGTACTGTAATTCTAAATACTGATATGTATAAATTACAGAAATAGACATGAAGCAGTTATTTGAAACTCATTACTTAAAATGTTATTTATGTTTAAATAATAGTATGTTATACAGTTGACCCATGAATAACATGTTTTAACTGTGTGGGTCCCCTCTACATGGATTTTTTTTTTCCATAAATACCTATACTGTTTTCAATCCACAGCTGGATTTCCGCTGATGCTGAGGGACAACTGTATGCATTGATCTACACAATTTATATAGGGGACTTGAGCATCCACAGATTTTGGTGTCCGTTGGGGGTCCTGGAACTAATACCCTGTGGATACTGAGGGACAACTAAATTTTTAGGGAGTCAAAAGGGTGATGGAAGAGAAACTGACTCTGGGTGATGAACACAAAATGCAATATATAGATGATGTATAATAGAATTATACACTTGAATCTTATATAATTTTACTAACCAGTATCACCCCAATCAATTTAATAAAAATAAAATTTAAAAAAGAAACGCGCACATGTGCGCGCACACACACACACACACACACACACACACACAGTTATATATGAATTTTCAAGTGTGTGGGTGGGGGTTGGTGCTTCTAGTCCAAATGCTGTCCAAGGGTCAACTGTACTTATATTATTTTGTTAATATTTAGCTTTTCAGTTAAAACTGGAGTCAGCAAACTATGACCCCCTGGGCCAAATCTGGCTCACAGCTTGTTTTTGTGTGGCCTGTGAGCTAAATGGTTTGGGGAAAAAGTAAAAAGAATAATACTTTATGATGCATGAATATTATATGAAATTCAAATTTCATTGTACATAAATAAAGTTTATTGGAACAGAGCTGTGCTTATTCATTTTTTGTCTGGTCACTTTTGTATCTCAGAGGCAATGTTGAGTAGTTGTGACAGAGACTACATGGCCCACAGTGCCTAAAATAAATACTATCTGGCCCTTTACAGAAAAAATTTAACTGACCCGAGTTAAAGCATCATCTCTATTAAAGCTCTCCTGTTTCAAAAAATTGTTTTAGCATTGGTTTTACTGTGGACTCTCAGTTAAAAGACAAATTTGATTGATTTTATTTTGGCATTTTCTTAGCTAGATTGCTTAACTGTTAAGCCTCAGTGTTCTCATCTACAAAATGGGGTTAATAATAATGCTGTTATTATAAAGTTGTGAAGATTAAATAGTGCCTGGCCAGCTGAGTAAATGACAGCTTATTAATATTGATAACAATCAAGGTTTCTGCTTTGTAGCCATGTTGTATTTTATATTTACATGTTTATTAACTTTGCATTTATAGGTATGCTTTGAATCTGTTTAATAATGAGAAGTATACTCATAGTTTATTTAGATAAGATTTGTTCCTTAAATTGTTAGGTTTTCCAGTTATTAACTATGTAATACATTATAACAAATTTAATTGTTAAAGTATTTATGTAATTTCTGTAGGAAAGGAATTAGGCATTGTTTGTGTTTTAAAAAGGAGCACCAGTCTTACTTTTTGGATTAGGACAAACAAATAACGCTGTTTCAACTGATTAGCTAAACTATCTAAAATTACTAAATCATTGTTCATAAGACTATGATGTTCTACAAGTTCGAAAACTTTTGGCTCCTAAGGTCAGTTTTCATTAATTTGTCCTGAAATACATTTTACTGGATACTTATTGTTTTTTGTTGTTATTGTTTTAGGCTTACTAAGTTGGGATCACTGCAGATTATCTTCATCTAAAGGAAATTATAATTTTTAGTGGTACTTGCCTTATTGCTGAAGAAAGCTGAGTGCAGTAAGGTGAATTGAGATAGAATAGGGTCAAAATCTTTCTTCTCCCTTCTTATAGTGTGGCATATTAAGACTGATTGTATCTGAGAACTCATAAAAATGTCTTCCAGGGATCTAAGAAGGGGGATATATACAGATGGTCCCCAACTTAACAATGGTTTGACCTATGATTTTTCTACTTTACTATGGTGAAAAAGTTATACACATTCAGTAGAAACTGCACTTTGAATTTTATCTTTTCCTGGACTAGTGATAATGTGGTACAATACTCTCTTGTGATGCTGGGAAGTAGCTGTGGGATTATTTTTGCCTAACTGGAGGCTAATGTAAGTGTTCTGAGCATGTTTAAGGTAGGCTACGCTAAGCTATGATGTTCAGTAGGTTAGGTGTATGAAACGCATTTTTCACCAGATATTTTCAACTTATGATGGGTTTATCAGGATGTAACCCATTGTAAGTCAAAGAGCAAACTGTACTTCTAGGTATGGTCCTGAATTTATTATCCTACATCAGACTTGATCAAAGCACAGAAAATTTATTATATGCTGTCTGTATCTCGGAGACTTCTATAGATACTCTCTCTGGTTTATTTATTTATTTTTTGCCCCTTTTAGATTTATTTCTCAACCATGGGGTATTTATGAAATAATTTTTTTTTAAGATTTTTTTTTTATTGGGTAATTGGGGAATGGGAATAGCGCTGGGGAATTGGGGGAAGGG